ATTTCAGAATGATCAATGAGCCAAAATTATAGAAAGAAACGTGCAAAATTTATGACAACTCATTTAAAGTTACAGCTTAGTGATTTGAGGCTGAAAAGGTATGCAAATATACAGTATCTGTATATTTTAGGAAAGCGATAACTAGCAATTTTTATACCTGGGCCGAAAGGCAATGTATCAAAGAAGAAGCAGGCTCTGAGTCACCAAAGGTTTTTATGTTGCTGAAGGTAGAGGAAGCATTACCTATTCCCTCGGCTAGAGAGGGAAAGTGCCATCCCCTAAGAGGATGGTTGTCACCCCTTAAATTTCTCATCCTGGACAAAAATCTTGTCTGTTTCATCTTCATTACGGCTCTGATGTTTAGTGATTTTGACACGTAGGCTGGACCAGTAATATATTTAGGGCCTGGAGAAAATTAAAACCTGAAGAATCTCTCTTTTTGAGCAACTGATAGGGGAGTTTATCTCAGCATATCCCTATCAACATTATAGCCCAATTCCAGTATCTTTCAGGGACTAAAAGAGGCACAAAGAAAGTTACTTGCATTTTCCTTTCATAACTCACTAGATCAAGCTAGCAGTTCATATTACTTCATTGCTTTCAATCCTAGGCAGTAAATTGCAAAATTACCTGTCACTGGACTCTAAAAATTGGTCTATTGATTTTTCTTTGCATCTGACAATTTTTCACAAAAGCTGTCACTGTCCTTCCCTAGAGGTTAAGTAAGGTGGTCATTGGTAACAGTAAGCTTTCCTGTAATAGCTACCTCTGACCTCAGCAGATAAATCTTGTCATTTCTGAGTACTGTTGCAATTTAATGACAAAATTATTCTTAAGATTCAGGGATACAAAAAGCAATGAAGCCCTAACTAGGGATCTTTGTGGAAGCATCTCTTCTTCTAGCCTAGAGGTTCTTAACTTTCAATTTGTGAACTTGTTTTTTTTTCATATTTTGATAACTATATTTCAAAATAATTAGTTTCTTTTGTAATTATATTGATTTTATGTGTTTAAAAACATTATTCTGAAAAAATGGTCCATAGGCTTCGATGGACTCCCTAAGGAGTCCATGACACAGAAAAGGTTAAGAACTGTTTTTTTAGCCTTTCTTTTTCTTTTTCTTTCTTTCTTTTTTTTTTTTTTTTTAGTATGGTAGGGTCCATTCTTTGTCCCCTGTTTTCTTCCATACCTGGTCCCAAAATGACTTCCCTTTCTCCTTACAGGTCTAATTCTAGATCCTTCTCCTGGATGGAATTCAAGCCAACTTGGCCAACCCATGTGACCCTAAAGTTGCTTTTTCTCCTGTTTTTATGTAGAAACGTGTCTACCAAACATCTCCTTATGAGGAATTCCTAGAAAACAATTCCTCTGTGTATATTGTTTATTTTAGATAACAGGAAGGTAGTAGCCAATTCTACCATCTTTGTACAGCACCAAGCTTCTGTCCCATATTCTAAAATAATACTCATTATTGGCAATTGGTGATGGTCGTTTCTACTTCTAACAGGGATGATAACCAGAGTATCTGGCTCCTGGTTCAGGGAAAAAATGAAATATCTCCTGATGTTTTTTGTGCTTAAAATACACGGCACTGAAGAGAGAGCTGTGAGAGCTTAATGATTTCCTGTTAATTGAATTGACATATTCCCCTTCTGTACATAATTGGTAGCCAGTGAGTTCCAATTAATTTAAAATTATATTTGGTTTTATGCAACCATAGAGCTCCAGATGGGCTCTCAATTCCTAGACATAATGGAAAGGTTGTATGTTTGTTTGTTTTTTTTATCTTTATATTCTCAATATCTCATACTGTGCCTTGAACCTGGTAGATCAAAGGATCAAAGATCTGATTAACCTCTGAAAGCCCAGAAAATATTGCCATAGGAAAAACTCTGAAACAGCTGAATCAGAAAGATGGAGTGCAGAAGTCCAGTAGCCCCAGGTAGCTTAAGGGATTAACAGGAAAGGCCCCTCTTGCCCTGGGGGAGGGGGAGCAGTACAGAATGGGAGATGTCCCAGCAAGCTAGTGGAAAGCCCCACCTCAGCATTCCAGGGGGAGATCCTGAACCCCAGGAGGTGGAGCAGGCAAACACCAACACCAGGACCCCAGAGTGCCTCAGTTGGGGTAGGGGAATCAGTAGAAACTGGCTTGGAAAACCACCACATGCCTCTGTGTTCTATGACAGCCAAGTCTCCCAATGCCTCAGAGAAACATCCCGCAGCAGGGAAACATCCATCTACAAGGAGCCAAAGAAAGCAAAAGGAAGGAGAGGCCCAGGTGAGCAGGCAACCTCCAGGGGCCAGACTACCCAATCCGACCCCGGGAGTTCCAGCCTTGCTGATTCCAGCCCAACACCAGGTAAGCTGCCAGAACCCTACAGCCTCCAACTGCCAGCAGTTGAGGCCCCAGCATACAAATCCAGTGACCAAGCCCCAGGCTCCCAAAACAAGAAGCTTGGGTCAGTGCCCCCTGCTCCCCAGCAGGGGAGCTCAATCTTTTTAAAGGCCAGGAAATAAGCAAACACCATGAGCAAAAAGAAACGTACCATAGATTCTTATCATGGGGACAGTGAGGATCAAAGCAGAAATTCTGAAGAGGACAACATTGTCAACAAACCCACATCTGGAACCTCAAAAGGGAATATGAACTGGTCTGAAGCTCAAAAAGACTTCTTGGAAGAGCTCAAGAAGGTCTTTAAAAGTCAAATAAGGGGCAGCTAAGTGGCACAGTGGATAGAGCACTGGCCCTGAAGTCAGGAGGACCTGAGATCAAATCTGACTTCATATCAAATCAGACACATAACACTCACTAGCTGTGTGACTCTGGGCAAGTCACTTAACCCCAATTGCC